TCGGCGCTCCGAATTTGAGCAATAACCCGTATTCTACTTCCTTAGCAATTGGATTTCTCTTCGCATTCCTCAAAATCCTTAAGCAATTTGTTAAGCAATTTAGACTAAAAGTAAAATTGTGAAGAATGAAAATGTAACAAGAAACGTAATAAATTATTCATTTAGTCAAGCAAAAAAATGGAACAAAAAAATAAATTCATCTCTAATTTCTCAATATTTATTATTATTTAATATTATTATTATTACTTAATTTATTATTATTTAATATTATTATTACTTAATATTATTATTATTATCACTTTTAATATTATTATTATCACTTTTATATTGCTTCATCTCAGATCGAATAACAGTGGTCGAATTCATTTTTTTTCTTGATAGAAATTATGCTTAAGTTTGAAAATTCGAGTGACACTAGGGACCGATTATAGAACTATTCGCGCTATGGGGCCATTTATATTAACTCTCTAGCGCACTGTTTGAGCTATTATTTAATGCAATATTTTTTAAAAAATCGAAAAATATACTACTGATGTGCATTTGGCAAAATTATATAGCATATTTCTTATCAATTCTCTGTTATGAATTTGAATATTGTAGTTCTTTTCAAATTGTTTTCTTGAACGACTGCAATTTTTCCAAGAGGTTCGCCATTTTTGATTAGACTCTGTTGGGTTGAACAACGCAAATGTTATTAAAGAGAAGACCTGGAGATAGAAGGGAGGTGGACTGTCGATATCATCTGGATTTTTAAAAAATAAGAAATGGGAACCCCACCAGCGACATTCGACAACACCGCACTGAGTTATTTTGTGAGCCATTGAATAATATTTGATGATATTTTTAATGTAACCGTAATAATATTTATTCGCTCATTTTTGATAATACAAATCATAATTTTTCAATTTCGTGGATATAATAGCTCACTGGGTTGTTAATCAATTGGACCGCCGATGCTGAAGTTCTATTCCTTGAAGGAATAAACCTGTCCGAAAATCGAGGCTAACTGTAATGCTGGCGACTCATTTGTATTTTTATCGCCACGATATTCCATAATACATTTGTCTTGTACGATAAGACAGCTTAGCGAGTCTAATCAGTAATGGTGAGGAAAAAAAAAAAAAATCTTTAAAATAAAAATTTCTTCATTTTATGAAATTGTTTTTAATTTTTATCATAATTTTTAATTTTTATCAATCTTTAATTTTTATTAATTAAAACAAAAATTATTTTTGATTGATTAATAAGAATCTTTTTTATTAAAAATTATTTGAAGGAATTTTTTTTTAAACATCTGCTTAATTAAACGATGAATTATATCAAATATTTAGCATTATAAGGAAAAAACAAATAAATAAAAAATTAAATAGAATTAAAAATTATAAAAAATTATTGTTCATTTTTTTAAAATTTTTTTTATAATTCATTCTTTTTTACAAATAATTTTGTTAATCTTATTAGTTAAATAATAAAATTGATAAAAAAAGTTAAAAACTTAAGTTAAATATCCACAAAAATTAAATAAAAATCAAGAACCTAGATTTAAAAATTGATAAACACTGAACACATTGATAAACACTTTATTTATGTACAAAAATTATATTATATAAAAATTATACAAAAATTATATATCAAAATTATATAAAATTGCGTAAAAACTGTACAAAAGGAACAATCATTAAAATTTATCATTAAAATTTATCAAATATCAATGGAAAATTTCAAAAATTATAAAAATAAATAAATAAAAATTGATACAATTTAAAATATATAATAGTTTTGATTGTTATGATAGTGATAGTTTAGTTTATGACAATTTTTTTCTTCAATAAATTTTAAAATTTTAAAAATTTTATTTCCAGAAATAGAAATTTATTTTTCAAGAAACAGAAAAAAAATCATTTTTCGATTTTCAATTGTCATTTATATTTTTGAACTTTTTTATATTGTTTCAAAATGAAAATTTTTATTTGAATTTTTCTAGATTTAGATTTTCGTTAAGAAAACAATAAAAATTGCCTCCTTTTTTATCATTTGTAAATTATATATTAACTATTGAAACAATTCGTCTTTCTTACTTTTTATATTTTTTATCATATTTTATCATATTTTTTTGCATTTCTGATAACAACTATAGTCTTATAATAAGGGAATCACTTTTTCCTATTTATATCATTTATCATGCACGATATATAGCCAATTTTTGAATCTTATATCGCTAAGTTATAAGTAGAATCAAGCCGTGGTTCAGTTTAAAACAATAAGCTTATTTATGTTTGGAATTTGGAATGTCTCAGTGGGTTGTGCTAATGTTGGATTTCTAATCCTCGTAAATCGATCTTTCGAAAATCTGGATGATACTAATGATCCACTGTTGTATTTGTATTACACTTGTTACTTGCATTAATTCTATCGTCAAACTTGGAATCAGGAAAAATTTTTTGGCCCCACAAGTCAACAATAGAAACCTAGCCAAAACTATTGAGCATTTTTCAAAAAGAAAACTTATACTATCGTTTTAGTTTCAGTTTAAATTGTGATAAAATAATCATTCTGATAACTTTGAATATTCATGAATTATCGAATATAGAATTTATCATTTTAAAATTTTTTTTTCCTCGCAATTACAACTGATTTAAATTGTAAATTAAATATTTTATATTTTATATATTCATTTTAAAATGATTGTTAGCGACAATTGTGACATCGGCTAATCGGCAATTTGCAATTTATTTTAGTAATTTTTAGCAATTTTTGATGGAACATTTTTCGTTTACTTCATCCTTTTCTTAAATACGAATGCATTTTTCGTTAGTTTAGTTTTGTTGTTTGATTAGAGAGAATCAAATGGCGATAATTGATCGTAAGCAATTGCTTTTCTCTTATGTAATTTCATTTTTATTTCCTTTTAAAGGAATAAAAAATTGACTAAAATTTTTAAAATCACAAAATTTACTATATTATTTTGAAAAATATTTCATATTTTTAATATTTTTCATATTTATATTTTATATTTTTATTATTTAATTTTCTTTCTAAATTTAATTGTATATTTTAAATTTTGTTTTAAAATCTATAAATAACTAAATAATAAACGATAAAATATTTCTAAAAAAGCAAAAATTCACAAATTCACCTGCATCTAATTCATTGCAAAAATCTTTTTTTGCAATATCACAGCGATTTTATTTGAATGAGTTTTTTAAAAGAATATTCATCATTTCCAATTCGCTCTACTGACTTATCAGATTCGACAAATTTTCCTATCACTTGGCGATAAAAGTTGAGGCGAGTGATAAGCAGGATTTTTGAATTTTTTAAAGAAAGATAAAGTAGAACTTTAGCATCGAAATGAGAACATCAACCGCAATAAACCATTCTATCCTTTCTTATACATACTTTTTATTGTTATTTTTACTGTTAGTATTTTCGCTATTGTTTCTTTTTTTTAATTTCCTAAAATTTCAAATCCTTAAAATGGATATTATTGTTAAAAATAACAATATTTATAATAATAATATTTGTTTAAAATTTAATATTAATATATTAATATTCGATAAATATTTTGTAAAATCTCATATTATCTCATATGAATTTTATATTTTATGAATTTTAAAAAGTAGTATGGCTAATAAATTCATTTATGTCACGCTAGAAGTTTCATAAATGCCTTATTTCAGCCATATCATGCTATTCTAAATTTTTTAAATGACGTTTTTTCTTTTTTTTTCTTCTAAGAGAACTATTAATGATTAGGCTCTCTGGCTGCATTAGCTTATTGAGCCAAATAAATTTTGACAGCGGCAGACGATAGAAATACAGAAAAATGGATTTTTAGGATTTATTTTTATTAGGACCTCATTAGGATTTTTGAAAAATAAATTAACCCCTAGTAGAAATTGAACCCTAAATTTTTAAATATATTGGAGAATAATAGTGTCAAGATCTTGTGGGATTTCTCCATCCAGACAGACAAATCAACTAGGTATCATAGCAGTTGACAAGAACCAAAAATCAGCACTGGTGATAGATATAGCAATCAAAAGTGACAGGAACATTATTAAAAAGAAGGAATTATGAGAACGATGTTAAGGAAATACTAAGTTGTGTAAATAAACTAAAGACGAAAATAGTGGTAGAAGGCACTAAGGGTTGTAAGCCTTAAATCTAAGAATTAAGAAATTGGCTTCAACACATTTCAAGAATAACATCGTTTTCCATTAGAGCATTGCGGATCATAGGAACAGCTAAGATATTGCGCCTCAAGTTAAAAGCCCCTTAGTTCCCAGATATGTGGTTTCCTATCATAGTAGTCCTCTATTCACTAATTCATATAATTATGATAATGATAATGATATACATATAATAATAATTTATAATAATGATGCATGAAAATTCTCATCCGTAATATCTATTAAGTATTTGTAAAAAAAAGAAGGAAAAGGAAAACAATAACAAAAAAAAATATGAATCAAAATCATATTTATGAAAGCAGCGTTGCTGAAATTTTTCAGAGAAAATGAAAATTTATTAATATTATCAGTAGCATTATCATTTGACGATGATATATTTTTTTTTCATTATTATAATGCTTTGATTTAATAAATTTCACATTATTTATTAAATTTGCGAATTCTCTCTTCTTCTTCGACAAACGCCCACCATTTCTGATTAAATTATCTCCCTGACTTATCGGACTAGGCAAATTTTCATTTTGTAATAGAAGGGCGAATAGCCTGAATTTTCAAAAGCCTAGTTCGCCTTCGCCAAGAATAAAACTTTACTATCGGCGCCTTAAAAAACGAGAGCAATGACCCACTAAGCCATTTAAACCAACCATTTACTGGTTTTTATTTCGCTAAACTTTCTTATTATTTAAATTATCGTTCTTTGGCTTCTTCGCAAGATTATATATTTAAATAATTTCATGAAATTTCGTTTATTTTTATATTATTGTGAATTTTTTTTTCAGCAAAATTTAAAGGAAAAAAAGGTTAGAAATGAGCGAGAAAGATCAAATATTTTGGGATGCATTAATGTGCAAAAATGATTCGATAAAATTAAAACATTCGAAAAAATATTTAAAAAGTATCGATGTCGAACATTTTGCAAATCAATTTACTATTGAGAAAAAAGAAGTTGAAAAGGTTATTTGCATATTTTTTGATTTTTTTTATTATTTTTTAAAAAGTTTATTTTATTTTTTAAATTTTTTAAAAATTGTTTTTTAAAAAAATGAAATGAATTTGTCGTCTTTTATCGTTAAATTATCTAAAATAGCGCATTATTAAATTTTATAAAATTTTAGTTTTTATTTTTATTTATTTATACTAATATTATTAATTAATAAGATTAATAATAAATTAATATGGATAAATTGAAATGAAATTAAATCATTATTCATTAAAAGCATTAAAAATCCATTTAAGATCATAATTAATAATAATAATATTAATAATAATATTCAATTAATCATAAAATTTATTCAAATATTTTTATGTATAAATTCATTTCACTTCCCCGATGCCTGGCATGGATCATCCTTAACCTCGGTTCGTTAGACTTAGAAGACTTGGTACTCTGCGCGTGCCTTAGCTGTTCTCTTTCCCTTTTTAGTACTATATTGTTTTGAACAGAGATCTCTATATTATTCCTGGAATATGTCGAATCTGTCACCTCCTAGCTTCCTTTAGCCCACTGGGACTACTTTGGTCTTCACTTTCCTCATCTTCTTTAATTCCTCATTTAACGAAATGTATATATATATATATAGCATTAATTCTTTATAATTATAATAATTATAATTATAATTATAATTATAACAATGAAATTATAATTATTATAATAATTATAATTTATAATTATAACAATGAAAAAAAACGTAAAACATTTAAGTCTCTTTTTTCTCAAAAATAAACTTTTTTCCTGAGGCGATCTTCTTAGTTATTTAATAAATATTTTTATAAATATAGCGAATAATTTTATCATGAATTAAGGACGATAAAGTTTTTCGAAATTTATACTTTATAGTACTAATATTGACTACATTTTTTTCAATAAAATACCTTTAAAAAATTTTCTCCTTGTTTGAAAAATAAAATTTTTTAAATAAAATAAAGATAAAAGTAAAATAAAAATAAAATTTGTCGGATATCAAAAAATTTCTTGATATCCAAGAAATAAAAATAAAGAAAAACAATTTTTTGCTGATAAAAAATATTTTCGCATCAATAATTTTAAATTTTTTTTTGTTTTTCAAAATTCTAAAAATATTTTTATAATCGCTGTTTATTTTCTAAATGACTGTATTTCTCGTTCTGGGAGCTCCACTGGTTTCATCATTCAGTGATAGAAGTACGTGGACCGCCAGTAATATTCATATTTTTAAAGAAATTTAGAGGTTTATTCTTATCAGGAGTGGAGTCCTGGAGACTTTTGCTCCAAAATTAGTATAATGAACCATTGAACCATTGAATATCCACTCGTATTTTTATTTTTAGTAATAAAGGAAATATTTAGTCTTCGATCGCTTATATGTTTTCCATGAAAGCAAACAAATGTTTGTAAATGATAGAAGAATGATTTGTAATTTAAATTTAACTTACCACTTCATTTATGAATATAATAAATCACAAAAGTAATAAAATATTTAACAAATATTTTTTATATATAATAAATTAATTTCTGATTAATATAGATTTATGGTTTATTCTTGAACATTGATAATGATAAAAGTGGTGGAATAACAGCAACTGAGATTGCGCAAGCTCTTGGCTCATTAGGTTGTGATGTATCACCGAAAGTCGTTCAAGTAAGCCTCAAAAGCTTTTTTTTTTATAAAACCATACAGTAATTGGTCAATTTCTTTCATTAAAATAGTTAAATTACAATTTTTTCGAAAATTTTTTCTTAATTCAATTTTTTCGAAAATTTTTTCTTAATTTTTTCTTAATCATTTATATATATAGAAACATTTATATAGAAACAAAACAATTGGATTTACTGAAAATATTTTCGAAATACAAACCGATTTTGGAATATTTTATTGAAATTCTATAATTATAAATTTATAAAGATTTATGAAAAATTAGATTAAATATTATAAATTAGAAATTAATAAATTTAAATTATAAATTTTACTTTATAAATTTTACGATTAAATATTTACTTTTTTGTCTACGTGTATTTTATAAATTCCTATTAAACGAACTTTTATTCATTTAATTTCTTTCATTATCATTTTTTTTCGTTATCCAATTGAAAAATTTATTGAATTTCACGCCACGATGCTTTATAATATTTATTTTTAGGCAGTGATGCGAACAACTGATAAGAATGGTGACGGTGAAATTAATTTTGAAGAATTTCTTGCAGTTGTCATCTCAAAATACAAGGTGCATATTTAATTATATTATTATGTCACGCAGTTTTTTAATTAATTGAAAATTCAGAGTTCATTTTTATTTAATAAAAATCCTAATAAAAATAAATTTATCAAATTGATTTATGAGTATTAGTGTTTAAAATAATGTTAGAAATGAGTGATAATAATGATAAATATTAGAAATTCTATGATTATTCCAAAATTATTCAGTTTTCTAACATTTTCTATTACCAAATTTTTAATTTAAAATTCACCTATCAATGCAAATCCATCATAAGTTTTGAAGAATTATAAATTTAAAGCTGATAAATTTTCCTAAATTTGAACTTACCACTCCATTTATGAATATAATAAATCACAAAAGTATTAACAGCATTAATAGCTCTTATTTCATGTATATTGCATGGTTCGAAGATATCACCATATTATCACCAGCAGTACATGCTATGACACCACGTCACCATCATCCAATGATAAATAGGATTAAAAAAATAGGATTAAAATTTCTTTTAGAATTTTAAAATTATGAGGAATACCTGCCTCGAGCAACTGTTTATTTTTAGAAAAGAACTGAATCTAGCAGTATTATCTCTTTGCTATCTTCTGGCATAAGCAAACCTATTATTAAAAAATACTAGACTCTTGGAACTTTTTAGGGCCTATTTGTGATTCTCCGAAACAATTATTTCATCCAGTCAATAGCCAATAATGCGAGTCTAAATAGAAATAATGATAACGCTGATTACTTATTCACTTCTTTATTTTATTTTCAGCTAAGAAAAAACAAAAAATATATGGACGAAGTTATAAAAAAATTAGCGGAAAACGGCGATAAACAGGTTTTTATAATTTTTCTTATAAAATTACTTTCTTAAAACAAATTTTTTATTTAATTTTTTAAATCAAATAATAACAAATATTAAATTTATGATTATAAATTAAAAAGAAAAATTTCCTCTATGTTTCTTATTAGGCGATAGGTTAAGCAATACTAAAAATTCGATTCTTATCACTTGACATGAAAAAATTTATTATTAGAAGAGAAAAAAAAAATCAGACCAATGTTAAAGATCTATTTGTATTTGTGTATAATATTATCAATGTTTATCATAAATTATTTATCAATGAACTTTGCAATTCAATTTTACCAAATTTTAATCAAATTTCTCTAATCTAAATAAATCATATTTGTTTAAAGGTAACAGCCGAAAATCTAAGAGATGCTTGGTCATTAGCGATCGGTTTAAAGCTAACTTTACATGAAGCCAACGCCATCATAGCTCGAGCCGATGTATTTAATAATGGCGTTGTAACGCAAGAGAATTTTACAAAAATGTGGAAAAACATTTAATCTCAATGGCTACCACTTTTTAAAATATTTTATACGAGCAATATAGTCAATTTGGCTCATTGGATTTTATGATTATCATAAGTAATCAACTAAAAATTTATGTAACGAAATAATGAAAAATGAAACGATGAAAAATCGCTTTATTTCACCCGATTTTCAAATTAATTTAAAGTTGAAAAAAATTAAAATATATATACAAATATATATTTTAAGGAGCCAAGTGATAAATAAAATTCTGTAAAATATTCGAATCAAAATGATTTTTTTTTTACATTTCATATAATTTTTCTGCCTTTCAATTCATTTTAAAAAATCTTATTCATTTAAAGAATGAATAATACCATTTTATATTAGCAAACAAAAGTCTAGGGAAGTACCAATGCTTATTAGACTTGAACGACTTACATATATTAAATATACTTTTATATAGTTCTGAATTTTAAAACGATTTTATTTATACACAACAACAAATCAATGAAAGAGAAAAATACATTCCCTACGATGATCCACATAGATCCACTAAAATTTTTGCTTCTAAAGAAAAGTAAAGAAAAGTAAGAAAAGTAAATAAATCATTTTGATACGAAAATATTAAAATATTTATTAAAGTAATATTAAAGTTATTAAAGTAATAGCAAAATAACAAAAAATAATATTAAGGGCACAACACTGTGAAAATATAGTCCATCTTTTCACTGCTTATTATTTAGCAAAATTATATTGCTACTGCGTGATTTTCATATATTTGGTTATTTGGTTTTATAGAGAGAATAAAGAATATATTTTTGTCCGTTCCATAAATACTAATAACGAATAATTTCTGAACATCAATGACATCACTAGCATCGCCGATTCGACTTATCATAATATCATTAATAGCATTCTTATCATTGTCATTAAAAATATCAATCATTGAATAATCGAAGTGACGCTTTGGTGTCAATGTTTTACACTGCTTAAGAAGCATCAAAATTCAAATTTGATTTCTCATTATTTACTTACTAATGATAATGATAAGATCCAAAATTAAGAATATTTTTGCGCTTTTAATTTTAACTTCAATTATATTCACTTTAAGCATCTAATTATTTCCCAATACCTACAAAAAGAAAACTAGGAAAAAAATATCAAAATCCTAATTTTTCGATAGAATTCCCATAGATATTCTTCTAACATAAACTAACCTCCACTTAAAGGTGGTATAATTGCAATTTCTGAATGAGGTTGTATTTGAATAGTTTCATCATTACACACATATTCTTGATTCAACGCCAGCAAGCAACAATCTTTGAGGCAACTTATCTCTTTAACCTGAAATATGCATAAAGAATTTTCCAATGAAAATTTATTGTTTCAATAATTTCAGGAATTTCAACATAAAAATTTGTTTTGCTAACAAATTTTTGTGAATTGTACCGAAAAAAATAATAACTTTCAGTATTATTATTGACTTTTTTAAAAAACATCTATAATGTAAATGAAATAAAGTAATTTCCAAAAAATTCCTATTTTCACCTCGTCAAAAATAAACTGCATGAGTTCACATTTATTAGTTGTGGCAGGAACAAGAATCTCTTTCTCGGAAAATTTTGCAAGTTCACGAGCGCTACCGAATAATAATAATGTCGCTTGAACATACATCCCATTAAAAAATTAAAATTTCAATTATTCATCCAAAAAAAATGATCCGAAATTGCCGAAATTCTTAAAAACTCTTCACTGAATCATTTTCTTCACCTAAAATAAAATAAAAATGAATAAATAATCAGTTTTTAGGCTGATATTAGATTAAATCAAACAATAAGAAAATAAATTTAAAAAATTAGATTTAACTAAAATTTTAGAAATATTAAAAAAATTTCATAAATTTTTTTATTCAAAAAACAAAAAGACCTAGTAAAAATCAAATTAAAAAATAATAAAGGAGGACACATAAATGAAGATGAGATCAATGAAAACTGGCTGATAAATTTGAACCATATTAAATATATATGATACAAAATATAAACAAAATTAAATAAAATAGTAGTAAAGTTACAAAAAAAAAACGAGAAAACAATGCAATATTTATTCTAATAGTTCTAATAATTTCAATTATATGAATCCCATTAGGATTTTTACTGATTATTGTTGAGAGGGAATTTCTACAAAAATTTTTCCAGAAATTATTAGAATTTTGGAAATAATTTTTTTGCAACAGTTTTGCAAAAAATGCTCACCATTTCTGATTAGGCTCTCTCCACTGCTTATCGGGTTAAACAAATTTTACTAGAAGATCACTTGACTCGATGCTCTCAAATGACAGGCAACGCGCTGAGCCATTCTATCCTTAGAAGATTTTTTTTTGAAAGCCCTCATCATTATTGACTAGACTCGCTCCGTTTACTTGTAGCACTGGACAAATATGTCAAGAAGTAGAAGACGATATGTATCTAATTCGCAAAAAACAAAAGTTGAAGACGAAAAATCACAAAATATAAACGATTCACTATGTATATATATGAAATCATTAGATTAAAAAAAGTTTCAAAATTTGAAAAAAAATTTCAAAAAAGAGAGAAAATATAGATAAATCTTATAAAAACCACTAAATTAAATTATTATTGAATTAGAGGAATGAAATAAGACAATACAATACAAAAAACTACAGCTAAAATTGGAATCTTGAATAATTCAAGAAAAAACATATTTAATTACATCGACAAACGTGTCTTCAACTCTTCAGAAATTGCTGCACAACAAGGATTGGCCTGAAGCGTTGGTAATAACTCTCGTATTAATACATCGGATTTTAAACCACAAATAACTTTTTCTCGTGATAATAAAGTAAATATATCCTTTAATTTTATAGCATTTCCTGAAATTCTTTTTGAAGCGATAAAATGAGATGAGGGGTTTTTTTTAACTAATACTAATTAGAATAAAATAGCGAAGTCAAGTGAAAATAAAAGGAAAAATAAAGCTAAATTGCATAATATATTTTTACCTGTTTGAACGAGGTTCCTAATATAAATATTAATAGTATGTCTGAATTCACGTGGAAGATGTAAAGAAAAAGCACTATTCAAACGTTCTTCTAAAACTGTTTGCATTACACTGCCACGAATTTCGCCCATTATCCCAATAGGAGCACTAAAATTTCATATTAAGATATTTTAAAAATTCTCTTTCTAATACCATTTCTCGTTTAGTTAGCTATACTAACAATTAGGATGATATTTTCTTCACGGATCACCATGAAGATGAAAATAAGCCCCAATAGGATTTATTTCATTAATCTGTCAGAATTGAGCCTATCAAATATATATTACCTATAGTGAATATATTCTGCTACAGTCTAAAGTTATAAAAGTGATCATAAAAAAAAACATATTTCATTAATTAACCTTTTGCATGATGGCAATAACGATGAAAGTGTCGGAGTTTTCGACACAGAAGAAGCATGGACAGACAATGTTCCACACATTCTCTGCACAAGACTGGCAGTATTATTGATCAATTGCCTGGAGAAAATACAAATCGAATAAGATGAAAAAAAAAATAAAAAACCACTAAGAAGAAATGATAACAAACCAACAATCCATACGCAAAGAATATAAAAATGTTTTTCCCGAAGAAAGACCAATAATAGGAGAACCAGAATCACCAAGCAAATTCAAAACAATATCCGCATCTGAAATTTCGCATAATAATTATTGTTAATAAATAAATAAAAAAAAATGTTAATAAATTTTGCAAAATTCTAGAAAATTTGCCAACTTACCCTTCTCAAATAAATCATTCAGCGATCGTCTCGATAAAATTGATTTCTTTTTTCCCAAATCCCTAAAAAATAACGATATGAAATAAATATAATGAGAATGAAATCACCATTCACAAAATATTTCACTATACGAAAGATTTTAGAAATTTTGAAAAATTTACCAAACATATACGAAGGCATAGGATGAGCAAACGGAAAGAAAAGAATCGGCAACATAAAGATATGAAGGAATCGAATCAACCATTAAATTCATATAAAGCAATCCTGACTGGGAACAATAAATGAACATACATCGATCATAACAACCAACTACTGTCCAATAACTAACAAAAAAATTATGTGAAAATTTTCCAATAATTATGGGATTAAGAATATATCAAAGCGAAAAATTGTAAAAAATAATATTCACACGAATAATTTTTTAAATTTTTTGAAACATTGGGCATTTTTCGGACTTTCTTCAAAACAAACCATTACTTATTTGCTGCGAGTGAACAAACAGATGAATTGATATAGCAATTCCAGTGAATGACGTTTTGTACCGAACCAGTCAGCTTAGTAGCAAATATGGATAATGATATCTCGACATCATTGAATACATCGATTTTGTCTACAGGATGCGTTAAATTCTGAAAACTTAATAATATTTTATGGAAACTTATATATTTTTGAAAAAAAAAATTTAAGCTAAAAAAATTATATAAAATAAAGAATTACAAAAAAGGAAAAAAATAGTTTTACCAGTGTTTTTTCAATTTTTAAATTAATTGAACGCTTAGAAACATGCATATTTCGAACATATATTTTTTAGAGCCTTGACTATTATTGGTAAGACTTATTCCGCCGACTTGTCCCATTAGATAAATATGCCAGGAAGTCCCTTAGCGATAAAAAAATAAATGAATCGCCAGCATTACCCGGATTTTTATGCAGGTTTATTCCTGCGGAAAATCGAACCTCAGCATCGGCGTTCCCAATTGAGCAGTAACCCATTGGATCATTCTTTTCTCCATTTGAATGATATATACAGAATAAAATAAGCAAATTATTATAAAACACAGATTTTCAACTGCTAATCAGATAATATCATTAATTCATATAAATAAATTTCTTCAAAATACCAAGAAACCTTACAGTTTCCAAAACAACAGTATGTTGCGGTTTATGCGGCGGAATAGGAAGTTTGATAAACTGATTTTGACCGTCGCACACTTTCACAGTATCAGGCAAAGGTGCCATTCGCAAGATAGGTTTATCCACCATGGCAGGTATAGCCTACAATCGAATAAAGAATAGTTTCAAGTAAAAAAAAAAGCAAAATTATATTTTTTGCCCAAAGTGTTTTCAAAGATCGAATTGGTCTGCGATGAACCAATTAAAAAAAAAAACAGAATTTACTTCCTTGAAAGTAGATACTTCCACTTGCACCGCTTCATCTTTTGCTTGATTAATGAAAGGATCATAAGAGTCTTTTTTTCTCAGCTGATTTTTAGGAGAAAAGGTGGTTACAGCCATCTCTCTACTGCAAAAAAACTGTTAAAAGCTTCTTGCTTCAAAAGCTTCTTAAATAAGCATTTATGCAATGATGTTTGCAGAAATTGAATTCGTGAGCACCTTTGTTCCTTAGCCTTTTTGGAAGGTGGTTCATTTTCTTGAAGTGATAATGATGCGACAAACAGAGGCTGAATACGACGCTTATTCGATTTCGTGCGCGATTCTGCTTGTACAACAGGCACTGAGGACGCCGAGATATTTTTTGTCTGCTCAACGTCCTGCTTTTGTTTCCCATCTAAAATGTCAAAATATAATGGTAATATTGAAAAAATAAACCTTTTTTTGCCCAAATAAAATGCTTTTTATAAAGATTCTGTGAATTTTATCATAGCTTTCAAAAAATATTTTTCAAAAATTTATTTACCTTCATTATTTTTCTGGGAAATCGCATCAGATTTTTTCTGCTCTTCTGAGAGAACTTTTTCAAATTTGTCGCTAACTGTAACCATTTTCTCACGATTTAAATTGGCTAGGTCATCTACAAACTTAGAACCATTGGTGACAGTCGATGAACAATTTAATGAAGAATCACAATATTGCAATGGTCGACGACTGTATAACCTTTCGCACATATCGCCCTAAATATTTTGAAATGAATGCAGTAAAACATACTATTACTTTAATAAAAAAACATTGTACTTTAAAAAAGAAAAATCAAAAAACGAATGATATAAAATCTCTTTACCATTTCTTTACTACTTAACAATCGGCCAACCTCTCGAGCGTTAAGCAAAATCGATTTAATTGAACCATCCATTGAGCTAATTGTTAAGTGAAAATCGTTCCTCAAAATGAAGATTTTTAAAAAAATTCAATAATGTTAGAAAATTCTTTAACAAATCATATTTGAAAAATCAGATTCATTTAATAGTTATTATAACATTCGAAAGAAATACAAATTGCAAATAAAAAAAAATAACTAAAAAAAATACAAAACCTTGAAAAGAACAAAACAACATGTCAAATACAAAAATATGAAAGGAAAATGAGAATCTTACCAGGACAAATCAAGGATAGAATGTTTGAAAAGACGCTGCAAAACGACGAGAGGTCTGCTTACATTTGGAATAAGCCAAACACTAAGTGTTTTATCTCTACTACCCATCGCAAAACAACAAACATGTAACAGTTTTCCCTTAAAAAACCATGTACAAAAGAAAAAGTGATTTTGAGCCAAAAATTTTAAATTCACAACAACAGGCAAAAATTTTTGCAGAATTCCTTTATGATAGAAAAGAATGAAAGATATACTTTATGGTCCGTATATTCAATCATACGTGGACAAGCACGTACAACTGTCACTGCTTTACGATGTCCCACTAAGTCAAGCGACATATCCCAATCCTAAAAAAAATTTTTGAAATTTACTTATTCCTACTCTATCAAATTAAAAAATTGATAAAACAAACTTTTCGTCGAATAAGCTGTGCAGTTGGGCCAGCGTTATTGGTAGCACAAGGAGCAATTAAATAAGCCCCATCTGGAGACCAGTCCAAACGACAGAACATGGTTGAATTACAACTCTATAAATTTTTTGCACTCATAAGAAATAAATAAATAAAATGCACAATTACTAGCGCAAATATATAATAAAATAAGGTGCTGACGGTTACTTGGACAAAATATAAGATTTGAATTATCGTTCCGAATAAATTATGCCAATGTGCACAATAATTTTACAGCAAATAATCAAAAGATATAAAACCTCAACAAAAGGTTCTGAAATTGTTTTGACACATTGCCAACTGTCCGTAGCCCAAATTTTTATAGATTTATCACTTGATTGAGTAGCTAAAAATTTTCCAATTGGATCCCAACTAAGACCTTTCACATTCTGTGTATGACCTCCTCGTGAAGCATCTAGCGTCATAATCTTTTCTGAAAACTATTTTCCAAATTTTCTTTCAATGAAATTTCTTTATATTTTCATCAAAAACCATAATTTTCAATGGATGAATTTTTTTAAGACAAAAAGAAGAACTACAGGGGATATGAAAAGTGATGCCCAAAGTAATTCCAGTGATAATTAGCACCTGAAACTGTAGCCTCTAAACTAGAAAAGTGGCTTCAGCAGATTCCAGGAACAGTATCAGAGATCTCTATCCAGCATGCTAATAGGAACAGTTAAGAATACTATAGCATAATACTGATAATAATTATTGCGCTGAACCCATAATAACCCAGTCCTATGGTAGAAGACTCGAGGCTGAGGATGATCATGACCACCACAGAAAAGGGTAAGAAAGACAAATTTTTTCTTTATGAATCATCGAACTGAATATGAAATAAAAACAAATTTCCGAAATAAATTAGTTTCAAAATTGAATTTAGGGAAAAACTTTACTTGGTAAGCGCTGAGCATCCCAAATAATAACACGAGCACACATTCCACAAGATGCCAGAAATCTTCCATCTTTCGACCATTCTAAATGAAATACGTCTAGATCATGGCCATACAATCGAAATTTCTCTCTGTATCGCTCAAAATTCACCACTGCCTGAAACAAAAAAACAAAATTTTCAAAAGACAAAATATTTTTCATTTGGTGAAAAAACTATGATCATAAATAAATAAAAAACAAGCAAAAGTAAAAAGAAATAAATTAGGAATAAAATCATTTTTTTCAATTATTTCCTTCAATTTTAAACAAAATTCCTTTAAATTAATTCCACAAATTATATCATTATATAAAAAATTTCATAAGAATTACAAAATAATTTACAAAAACAGTATTTTTTAAATAATAGAAAAGTTTATTTTTTAATGATTTAACTTTAAAAAATTTAATAACTTTAATTACAAACTTTTGATCCAATGGAACCAGCACTATTAATACGTCCACCATATTCATAAATAGCTAATAAGCGTTCATCGCCAGCACAAGCCAACCATTCTCCTTTCGTTGACCAGCGTACACAATTTATACAACCTATATAAATAAGTTATAAAAATAAAATAATTCGAAAAACTTAAGCTTAAAAAATTAATTTCTAATTTATTTTTCGATTCAATTTTTGAATTCGCAGTACCATTCATTTCTCTCATATAAACCTACCTATTCATTTATACCAATAAATAAATCTCGTCGAAAAATCGGCAAAAATTCGATGAATTCAATCAAAAAAACCATATGAGATTCTAAGCTAATGATCATTAAACTTCTTTTCCACAGATTCTTTGAATAAAATAAAAATTCATGGATTCCACAAAATTTTCTTTTTAACTACTTCTTTATCTCAAATCGCAGAATATAACTGCAAATAAGCTTTCACCTAAGCTAAGCTTTCACCTTCCTGCAAATTACCCTCTTTGCTTTAGGTAAAAAAATGAGACTCTTAGATTCCATGCATCCTCCAAGAATCACATTACTATGGACCACAGAAATTTCACAGTGGTCAGTTGAACGATCAGCGCTCTAAATCAAGCGAATTACAGCAAAACAGCTTTACTAACGTTGTTGCGGTATAACAGCTAAACATTTAACGCATTTCGTATCTTTCGCCATAACTTCATTTAAAACTGGCTCAACATTCCATATAACAATAATACCTTTACCAGCTTCAAGTATTTGCCCACATGTCGCTAATTTCTTTCCACTTGGATGCATATCAAGCGAATAAATTGGTCCACCTGCAATATTATTAAAAAAATGTTTATATAATATTTTTAGAAAGCGAAAGAAAATCAAAAATTAATAAGCAAAAATAAGATTAAAATTAAAAAGAAATTAATTTGATTCTTAATAATTTTATTAATTTTGCTAATTTTATTTATTAATTTTACTAAATTTTATCAATAAAATAAAAAGAAATAATTTTAAAAATATAATAAATTTTTAATTAAAAATTAGCAACTCATTTAATAAATATATTTCTATAAGAATTTTATTTATTGCTCTATAAATTTTTTAAAAATTTTTATAATAGTAATTTAATAATTAATAATTTTATTTATAATTATAATTATAAATTTTTTAGTTTTTCTAAAAGTGCTCAGTATTTCTCTCTATTTGGCTCCGTTGGCTTATCGGACTCAATCAACGGACAAATTTTGCTATTGGAGTCACTTAGAAATATAGAGAGATTGCCAATAGCACTCGGAATTTAATTTAATATTTTTTTTCATTTTTAAAAAAAAGTTTTAAAATTAAAATTTAAAATTAAAATTTAAAGTTAAAATATAAAATATAAAATTAAAATTTTTTAAAATTAATTTATTAATTTAATTTTATTAAAAATTAAAAATATTAAGTGAAAGGATTAAATTGAGTTGAAAATAAATCGAAATAAATAACAAATAATAAAATAATAAATAATAAGTAACAAATAATAAACAAATAAATAATAAGTAATAAAAAATTTAAATAAATAAAATAAAAAAATGAAAAACCTTCATGATGAACCCAAACCGGATCCGTTAACTGCATTAAGAAATTTTAAAAAATATTCTTAAAAATATTAAAAATTTATTTTAAATTTAAAATACCGCAAATTAGTAATATTGGCTACAATACTATAAAGCGGTTGTTCACTTGAAGACGACCACTATTCTGCCTTAGTAACTTTGCATCCGGAAAAGCGTCTAATTCTTCAAGAATTTATATTCTTTTCGGTTTAAGTGTCCTTCACTGTCCAGGTGTGGTCATTGTTCACTTGAGAGTCCTTCCCTTTATCTCCAAAGTTCCATGTTGACCTAAGTCGTTAGTAGATATTCTGCGGAAAATACTCTTCATGGAGATCTTCAAACCTTTAAAAATTATATAGTATTTTATATTTCTACAATATAATTTGGGACTAAATTCTCTTAGTGCACCCTCTGTGACATCCTGAGGACATTATCGTGAACCTCAATCCTTTAGGCATTGTCCTTTATTGCACCATTGTTATTCCTTGATAAGTCCCCAGGAATCTATAAAAACCCTCCACATTTCTAATACTCTATCAGAGCACCATATATTTTGCTAAAAGCAGGTGGTTAACAAATCAGGACACGTTCTTCGTCGCCTACCACAATAGTTGCTGAACTCTATAATAGGTGGTGTCAGAAGCTAGGTGGACCAATTAAGACCTGGAGTGGCAGAGTCAGGAAAGATTTTGAGCATATAGGTGGACCAGCAATATATGGACTTAGACTATGGAAAAAGGAATGGCTCGAATTCTGCCGACATTGGCATCAGATCAAGCAGCTTGCAACGGTTACTCTTGTAGCCAGTGGAACCAGCGTAACCAATTATGGTGAGAATTGTTAAAAAAAGAAAGAGGTAACACATTAATTCAATTCTCTTATGTTCTTCTTCTTCTTCTTCTCCAAGCTCCTCGGTCCGATGTCATCGCTAATAGTAATAGAAGGCCATTCCTTTTTCCGTCGTCTAAGTCCATACATCGCTGGTCTCCCGTTACGTTCAAAATTTCAAAATTTCCTGATTATATTGGTACAGGTCTTGACTGGCTCTTTTCGTTTTTGACGCCAACCATCACAGGATTCGGCAAATAGCGTCAATTCCTGTTGTGGACTACGGAAAATGCCTAACCGGCGAAGACGACGCTCTATGATAACATTAGTAATACAGGTGGTATTTGATCGAAAATGAATGCAATCATGTGCGATTTTATCCACTCGACGTACACATAAAAATATACCTTAGATATGAGTGGTCAAAGGTTGATAATATTTCTTAATATTTTCCACTCTCATTGGCCATGTTTCGCAGCCGTATAGCAAGATTCTCTTATGTTATGTTGTTACCTCCGTAAAATTTCGCTATAACAGTATACTACCAAACCAGGGCGTCATTGCCTTTTTATTACAGCCCACAATTATATAAACTATAAAAAGTGTATGTATTAAGTGTATTAATTTCATCTACGTCTTATATATTATAGTGGTTAAAGGCGGGCGATCGGCGTAGGATGAAAAATAGCGATGTTTCGGTTCGAATCGCAGTTAGGATCCTTTGTCTTTCCGGTGTGGTCCTTGGGCAAAACTTCTTGCTCTACCTCAATATGAGAATGTCGTATGCTAGAGTCATGTCAGCTCGAACGTCGACCGGATTAACAAAGTAACGTCAGGGGCTGAAGGACCGGGTTTATGATTGACGAGTGGACACTGGAACAGCGCCAGTTGTTGTGGGATGAGGGAAGATGATTCTGGTGTTGAAAAGGCTATTGAAACAAACCTTTCAAGAATCAGACAAGATAATTTGGAGTTGATGGAGAAACCATACCAGTAAACCCAATCAGAGGAGAACTGTGGATGAAAAAAAATCTACATCTACATTAACTGAGGAATAGCAAGTGGCTCAGTGCTCTGTGTAAGAGAAAGAGGAACCTCCACCTCTCAGTTTGGAAATATGAATTCATCTCACAAAGAACAGGAAAGAAGAGATGTGTACATAGGAAGCTGGGAAGCTGGAAATTGTTTTCCACTATCTCCACAGAACAATTGACGTGAAGAGAATACAAAAAGAATCCTCAGCAATTCCTATTCTCCCTCTCACAGATAAGGTGAACTATGGAAAAGGATGCTTGAAAATAAAATCAAGGCAAAGAAGTTAGCCAATTGACAGAATCTTACAGAAGGTTGTAAAGAATGAAAATAGTATCCGGATGCTGGGGAAATATAAGAGTCTCGAGATGCTTAACCAAAGGCCTATAGAACTGGCCAAGGAGGTACGCTAGAGAAGCATAGGTTAAAAAGATAAGAATATACTCTCAACTTCAATATAGTGCAATAATAGCAGAATCACCACTATACTGGAAGAATATATAGAAGAAACAGATTCGTAAATAAAACAATGCAAAATGGTTGCAAGATCTGAAAATCACAAATCACAACAACCTTTCAGCGTAGGAGAGAGATACCATCATATTTGCTGACATCCAACCTTCTAATGAATAGCATGAAATACGACAGGAGAATACGTCAACTTGTGCGATTATTCTGAAACTGGCCAGATATTCATGCTGAGATACTTCAAGAAAGAAATATCACCCACCGTCACATATTTTATAGTTGCCTTCGATTCAATTAATAAGAGCTTTGGAGGATGATGGAATGTGGCGATGTTCTAGAGAAGATCATTCAGCTGATAAAGTGTTTATCAGTATACATCGACAAAGATATATATACATAACTGGCCCTCGAAATAAGGAACTAATATTCGTCAAGGCTGCGTACTCTCCCCTACAATATTCAACTATGCGACAGACTGGATAATGAAATCAGTATTCAAGAGGTGTGGAAATTAGTCTAGAGTAGTCTAGTATCAGAGATCTTAGATATCTTGCTGATGTAGTCTCTATACTTGTGATGTCTTCATCAATTCATTGCCGATTGAGGAAGAGAAAATTACAACCGGGATAATAGTAGCTAGAAATGCTTTCTTCCGATTGAAGAAATCTATATGGATGCGAGACATGACAGGTGAGAGTGGAGGGTATTAAAAATTTATTGCCTTTGACCACTTATCTTACGTCTAAGATATATTTTTACGGGTTCGTCGAGTGGATAAAATTTCCTATGGTTACGTCCATCTTCTTTCAAATAGCACTTGCGTTAACATTACCATCATGCTCTTAATTGATAAAGAAATTGATAAAGATGTCAAAATTTGGTTTATAAATCTTTGCCAGGCAAATTTAATAACAAATTGTATAAAAATATAGGCGTTTAAACAATCATCTTACATAATGACCTGGATTTTTCATCATATTACATAAATAATATTAAGCATTTCTCATTGGATTTCATAGCTAGCAGAATTAGACAATTTTGTCAGGTGGTGGCTGTTAATTTAATTGGACTATTTTAACAGCATACGATTTGCAAGTATTTGGTGTTTAGATGTTTTAGTTATTACTGACTGGAAAAATGATTGTTATGGCATTCAATTTGGCATTCTAAAATATTCATACTTGAATTGAAAATTATATATGGAATATTAGATGTTTTACATTGAAAATCCAGAATGGCAGAAATATTCATTCTAGCAGGAAACGTCTTATCAATGTAGTAGGTCCTATCACTAAATGAGTACTGATAATTCGATTGTCCCTCATTTATCCTTCCAACTTATAAAATGACTATAGCGCGTGAATCATCGCGGAAATAAGCTGAGCACTTCATGATGACATTCATGAATAAGGAAATTATCAAATAAGAGGATATTTCATTTAGTCAATGCAATAAAAGTACTCGATATTCAGTATTGGCCAGAATAATGTAAAAATACTTTGCGATAGCTGCAAAAAATATGCAATTTGCAGTCTGAAAAACATTTCTAGGAAAGCAAAAGCTATAAGATTTATTCAAATAATGGATAATCTGTGGTACTCGAAAACATAGAAATCCTTAGGTTCTTTTTTTTGCAATTTAAATTTATTTATTTTCCATTGATTTTAGCAATTATCACAAATTTAAAAAAATTTCAAGTAAATAATCAGATTTTTCAGTATAAATTTAAATTTAGCGGTTGGATTATTGTTAAAAGAATGTTTAAAAGATGAGGCAATTTTCATAAATTTAGAAATCTCATTTGTTTCAAGAAAATAATTAAAATTTTTCAGTTAAAAATTCAAATCACCGGTCGGATTTTTCTTCTAACAATTTTCACCATTACCAGTTAAGAAGGTTGCGCTGGCGTCATTCGTAAGACGTTACAAGACTGCTCGATCTGATGCCATCATTAACAATAGCCATTCCTTTTTCTATCGTCCAAGTCCATATATCCCTGGTCTTCCTGTATATTTAAAATACTGTATCAGTCCGAGTCTTGAGATTGACCTACTGACCTTTGCTTTTGATGCTACTCTCCACAGTTTATCTTGAAGATCTGCATATATATCCTTGCTCTAAGGAGGATAATTCTTGAGCATGCAGCAAAGCCTACAAAGTTTTTGTATTATTAGCCCACAGAAGGAGAAAAAAACTTTTAAACGGTCATTCGCGTGACCTTCTTTGAGATTGAATGCAGCTCACCAGATTTTTTGCTAATTTGCTAATCCAGCAGTGCATTAACACAAAAATATAGTTCCATTTATAGACTTTGTTCCTCTTATTTTTTCATTAAAATTTTATCATTGATATAGGCAAAAAAGAAAAGGAAAGAATTTGCCCTTCTATAAACAAAAAACAATCGTAAGAAATTCACATTTAAATAATATTTTCAATGAATTTACCTTTTAAAATTTTGCAAAATGATAATAAATGATGATAATTTTTTATTTAAATCGTGTTTTTTAAATTTAATTTAATTTATTACTATGAAAAAATTGCTTTAGATTTTTAAAAAAATACCTAATTTTTGTTTAATTCAATCCTTTTTTTATAATTTTTATTGCCTTATTTTTTTTATAAAATTTTTCTAAGCAATTATTTCCATTATATAAAAATATATAATATGTCATAAATATAACATCATAGTAAAGTAAAGTTTAAAGTTTAAACTTATGAAACCATTAAATCACATCTTAAACATGCAATTTAATCCAACAAAATCAGAATTGTCAGAATTTTTTTTACAATCTTTTAATCCACAGCCGAAACGTTTGGTGCCTCCGATGTATAGCTAAAATTTTCAATATTAATAAAATATATTTTAGTTGTTTTCTCAAAAAAAAGGATTTATTAAACTTTTTTAAAATTTTATCATCACTTACTGATTCTCTTGAATTTGCAGTACTTCCCAATTTTTTTGCCATTTCATCTAAAAATGGCAAAATAAATCAACGAGAAATCGTATTATTTGA